CCTGGCAGGCTGGCCGAGCCCCGCCGCAGGGTGCGTGCCGGTGGCCCCCCGTGGGTGACTGTGTGGTCCCCGCTGTGCGGAGGCAGACGGCCAGTCCATCCCCATCTCCCGCTGACCCTGGCACTGGCCTGATTGGATCTTCTCTCTGCAGCAGCTCTATTTATTTTCGGACGGCTGTCCCCTCCCCAGGCTCCCCCCAGGGTTTAACGTGCTCCCTGCAAGGTGCCATGCTGCAGCGTAACTCAAGACCCCCCCGATTCAGCACACAGATTGGGGGGGCTCCTCCTCCCGCCTGTCCTTGGGCTGAGCTTTTTCCAGTGTTGGCGGTTTGTGGTTTTTTCTTTTTAGCTCAAATGGATTTCAGCCCATTTGCCCAGAATTAAGCTCCTGCAGATTTTAATTTGCTGACATTTTCTTCATCCGTTTGGTTGTGGATAGCAGGGATAACGCACGTGCTGCGCCGGTTCCTCCCCGCTCCCATCCCCTGCCCATATGGCTGGTGTGTGTAGTAAAGTGCAGGATCGTAGTTCGGCTCAGGAATGATGAGACACGGCAGCGAGGGGGAAAGATGAGCTGTCTCGGGTGAGTAAGGAACGGACCTTCCCTGGGAGCCCAGGGGGCTGGGAGGGGAATGGGTGTAAAGCAGCTTAATTCTCCAATCTAGCAACCCCCTGCACCGCAAAACCGGCATGTGCTGAAAGTTAATTAACTCTTAGCATCCTTATTGCGTCGGAGCTGCTCTCGTCGGGGATTCCGCGGGCATGGCAGCTCTGCCGGGGGGAGGGAGATCTCTTATTTTGTGTTCCTCCACCAGCTGCAAACGAGAGGAGCCCTCGGAGGGGCTGGGATGAACCAAAAAATGAAACGCCAAAGCCCAGGTCTAGTCCTGGGGGACCCACGGGGTTTAACTCCTGTGGTCCCCGCGGCCGTGCAGGGGCTGTGCACGCCTCACGGCGGGCTGGGGAGGGGAGCGGGGGATTTTTGGCGGGGTTTTGGGCAGGTCGGGGTCCCAGGGGTGTGCGCCTCTCAGCACTGCCCCTGTTTCTGAGCTGGTTTTGAGGGCAGAGCCATGGTTCCAGCAGAGGAGCGGCACTGGCTCTGCACCCAAGTGCTCTGCAGCGCCGTCGCAGCGGCCGCCGGCTTTTCCCTGGACTTGGGGGGACAGAGTGGCCCCCTGAGCCCAGGGGCACAGGGCTATCCTCACCTGTGCCTCGAAGGGGTTTAGCCCTCGCACACCACCGCACCAGTTGCCGTCTCCCCTTGCGCCGTGTGTTCCCCCGGCTCCCGGCAGCAGCGTTTGGGTTTGGAACATCTGTTTGCGGCAGAATTGGGGAGCGATGGGAACACAGTTTCCCTCCTCCCCACTGACCTGCCCTGTTACAAAAGCTGGGGCATAAACCACCGGCGCTGGTGCTTACACGGACATCATCCCGTTAACCTGGATCTGAATGGCGGGATGTGCGTGTGCCCTGGAGCACATCCAGCCTCTCGCCCTGGGTGCATTAAGGCATTAAATGATAACTCTCGGGCTCTTTACGCTGCTGAATGCCATCGTGGATCTCCCTTAAATCGTGTCGTGCTTCACTCCGCTGCAGGGAGAATAGTTAGGGGTAGTTTGCAACTTTGCTGCTTCGGTGACGGTCCGTTTGCTTCCCGAACAGCCTCTGCTCCTGGGGGGAATCCAAAGCCTGCAGCCGGAGCGGCTGGCTCGCGGTGGCTGGGCCGAGGCGAGCGCTGCTCTGATGGCAGCCCCTTCTGATCCCTGACAAAGATAAAATCGCTGCCCACCAGGGATTCCCTTATTACGGGAGAAATTCCGCCGAGTTCATTTCAATAATGCTCCAAACACAATCTATTTGTCTCCGCTTGTTTTTCACGGCAATAAACTCGCCTGGCGTGTCCCCGTATTAAAATACTCCAGCCATCTGTGACCGCCTCTGGATAAGAAATTTCATTTCAGCCATCAGGATTTATATATGATGGACTGCGCCGCTTCCCTGCTTGTCTCCCTGCCCCCACCACGTACCCGCTTCTCCAAGGCTGGGTGCTGCTTTCCGGCTCTCCTGGGTGCCGATGCAGCTTGCGGCACGGGTGACCCCCCCCCAGACCCGCTTTGCTCTGCCCGACGCAGCGCTGCAAACTGCGAAACCCAGCGGAGCGGTAACGGGGGAAAAGCAGCTCTTGTTTGGTTCCATTTTAAACAAAAATCCCTAATCTGATAGCCGGACATATGGTCAAGTGTCCCAAACTGAGAATTAGGGCAGCAGGAGGAAAAAAAATGTGCCAGTGAGGGAAACGACTGGGAGAAATTTCCTTTTCTATTGGCTGAGTTCAAATAGGTCGTGACCAAAATGCCTTGGGGCCAAACCCGCCGTTAAGGGATCAGTTTCTTGTGACAAATTGAACGATGCCTGGGATGCAGATTTTTTCAGCCTGGCCCACTTGCACACCAGAACTCTTCTTTGGGGAAGCGGTTACTTGCTCCGAGTGTTTTCTGGTACCTTGAAGGGAACGCGGAAGCTGCGTGTGTCCGGGTGTCCCTGCAGAAAGCAGGTTGGGCGCAGCGCCTCCTCAGCTGAGGCGCCTGCTCTCTGCGACTCCAGAAAGTGGGGCATGGCAAAACTCCCCAGGGCTGGTGTGGGGTGTTGATGTGGGGCACAGGGCGGTGGGAGCTGCCGGTGACCCCACGTCTCCCCAGCACGGGGGCCGGAAGGGTCCCATGGGTGCCACAGGAGGTCTGGGGGTCATTTCTGGAGCTGGATCAAGCAGCTATTTGCACCCACTGACCTGCCCACCATCCCGATACCCACTGAGTGATGCTGGGCAGGATGGAAGCTCTGGAAAAAGCCTTTCTGGGGGTTTCTTGGAAAGTTACCAGCCCTCCTAAAATCTCAGCTCTGTGCTCACTGCCGGGCTGGAGCGAGTCCTGCTTGTGCACAGGGATTCGGAGCTGCCGCGTTCCCCCGTGGCTGTCGGTGCCGGAGGCTCCCGACACCCTCCCCATGCACACAGGTAGTTGAGGTTTGAGAAAAACCAGCGCAGGTTCGGAAGCCGAATCCTGCGACGTGCGTAAAGCAGGACAAGAATTTCCTTTCCCGAAGGCGCGCAGCTCTCAGCGGAGCGGCACACTCGGGGGGCAGAAGGGCTTTTCCAGCCCCGTAGCTGTTTGCCCAGCACAGTGCAGATGTGATCCCAGTGCAGCTCACTGTTTTAATCCACCCCAGGACGCGTTTTTCTCTGCAACCGACAGACTCAAGGTCAGGTCTTTGCGAGTTGTTTTGGGGCTAAAGCCGTGTATTTTTCATTTTTCCTTCCTTTGGTGCCTGGAGGTCTGACCTGCTGTCGGCAGCTCTGGAAAGCTTCACATCCTTTTCACCAAACGCGAGTGCTGTGTTTAAAGATGGCGTTATTTGAATTAAAGATGGTTTTTTAATCATCTATCCCTAATGCAAACCCCTGCTGCATTACCCTGGGGGTAAACGATGCTTCGCAGCTCGGGGAGAGGTTTGGGCCCGTGACTCTGGTCCTGGTTCTGGTCC